GGGCGGGCCGGGGCGGCCGGCGTGCTCCGGCCGCGCCGCCTTCGCTGCTGCACGGCCAGCTTGCCCTAAAATGGGGAAACCTTCCGCTGGTTTTCCCCCCTCGGTAACTGAAGACCCTGCTCTTCTTTCGCGTTTCACAGTGCGTCTGTTTTCACTGGTCGGGACGGAATCTGCCGTAAAGTACAGGCTTCGATTTTGATATTAAAAGTGCTCTTAGGTAACGTATGTTAGCTTTCTGTGTTTGCCCGTACTATGCCGGTTTATCCAGAGATTACTGGAAAGGTCGTCTAAGAGTTACGTTACTGATACGAAGTATATTGGTGATATTAAATGCCAATTTACTAAAACATGTCATAGATACGTCTTTCAGCTTTACTGCTACTTCTTTTTTTGTCTTTCCCGAAAGTATGTCTCTTGATTGTATCACATATAAGCATCGCAGTACAGACATTCACGTTCTTTGGTCAAAGCTACATCATAGTTGTTTAGACCCTGATCCTTTAAAGCCCTTGCGTTCTCTGCGTAGGAGTTTGGTTCTGTTTTGCATTACTCATTTAAACGCAGAAGTAACGCTTTACAATTGGTTTATTTTGACATTCTGAAAACGGGGAATAGTCTGTTGGTCGAGGCAGGGCACATGGGCTAGCTGGCGGGATCTCGGCTCCATAACCAAAGCTGTTCTGTGGTTAAGATGCAGAGCTCTCTCTGACCTTATTCATAAGCACCAAATCCAGTTGAAAAAAACCAGCTAATTTAAAACAAACATTTTGATTTATTTAATAAGGTCATGCCAAATGCAAATAGTGAGAAGGCAGGTTTGCAGTTGCGTTCTATAGTGTTGAAAACGTGGCAGAAACATTGCTCCTCAAAGGTAAATACTCCTTCTGAAGTACCTTGTTTGCTAGAAACATGGAAGCTGAGGAGATTCCTGTTTGCAGGGTGGTGATTCTAAACCTCTGCCTGTCCCCTCTGACCCCCAAGTCGCCTTTAATGTATTTCATATTCAGAAGGGCTTACAAAATGCTTAGGGTATTTAAAACATTAGATGGTTTAAAAAGAACTCAGTAAAAGTATAATTATTAGCTGTGGATAGAATTACAATAACAACTTTTTGACTGCTTTCCAGCAGGACTCACAAGCTCAGACTTGTCTGGTCTATTTCCACCCAAGCCTCTTCACAGTCGTCTTTTCTGATTCATTTGGGAAGCTTGCTTATCTCTGCATTGCTCAGTAAGGGGTATACCATCTGCATATTATTGTAATTTAGAAGGTTCATCCATCTACTGTCTTAGATGAGATTTCCTGCAGGAATTTGTTAAATTGTATAAATTCTCATATCCCTTCTGGAATATTGAACAAAACTCATTTGATGACTGTAGGGTTTTAGAGCAGAAGGGGCAGTAAACTAATATAATTAATCATTGCGTCATTGCTGCAGAATAATAGACTAATTCTCTTCTTAATTTCCAGTTACTTATCATTTTAAATCTCACAGGGAAAGCAACACTGTATAGAAAGCAACAAGGAACAGCCAATTAAAAAAAAAAGTTTTTTTGTTTCATCATCTTAAGTATTTGCAATGTGCTGCAGAGCTGGGAATGCTCTGGTTGTGATTTAATAGTTACATTTTTCTGAGTGGTTACCTGCGGTTGCATGTTTCACTCTACTGTTTTGCATGAAAAATAATGTATTTCCCCATATAGACACACATTTTGTGTATTGAAATTACATTTTTTAAAAAAATACAAGTATACAGAATAGTTGGCTTGAGCTAAAATGAGCACGAACCAAGCCATCTTTTGAGCTAACAATTTTTTCTTTTGTCAGCTGTGAAAAAAGTCGAAACTCCTGCAATTACAAAATTTCAGTTATACTCTGACACTCTGCCCTAATTCAGGCCACTTAAATATGTGTGTATTGCTTATAAGACTCAAGTTTTTATTTCACTGCTGAACTCAACTGGATTGGTGAGTATATTCTTTACCTACTAATCATTTTAAGTGTGTCTGCTACCTCTCATTGTTTTTGGTGCGAGACTGTAGGCTAATGGTTGCCCTTAGGCATTTAGATTTAGATTCATGTGGTAAAAATGACCAGTACCTCTAATATCTCCCACTGGGAATGAAATCTGGATGCTTTTAGAAGGATTCCAGCCGCGTCTGCTAGAGGCGTGGGGAGCCTCTAGGAGTATCACAAGAAGAACAGAGAACCAAAAGGAACAAAGTGCTGAGAAAAAGTAGTTGAGAGATAGCTATGGTAGCAGCAGGCACAAAGGATCAGTGCTAAGGGCTGCCTGGCACCTGTGAGGGTGCGGCTGAATATGGGATGGCAGAAAGGAACGGCAGAGTGGGAACGCAAGAGGGAACAGGCGGTCGTCGGTGGGAATAGAGAAGGCAAGTATTAGCGTGTGTGAGAGAGAGGACTCCATGAGATGGGTAGAACTGAAGGAAGAGAGAGGATTACTAGTGTCTGACAGGGCTGAACAGAAGAAGAGCATAAATTGGTAGTTCCTGTTCCTGTCTTTATACGCAGAGTTCAGTGTCATTTCTAGCAGCAAGCTGGAAAGCGTTAAAGGCTGAGTTTTTAACCAAAAAACTCTTGCTATGTTGAGGCCCAGTAATCCTATCTGAAAGGTTAGAGAAGAAAACACTAAATAAATCAGCCTTTTTTTCCACTGGATTTCTTGCAAGTAAAGCTAATTGAACTGAACCTAGAGGAAATACTGGTTTGAACGTTGTTTTTTTTTTCTTGAACTATAATTCAGTGTGAACTGTTACTTTGAAGTTTTGTTAAACTGGAACAACTTTAGTTATTGTTGAACCGTAATTAGAACCTAAGTGAATAATTAAAATGTTTACCTCTGTACTTAAACATGATAGTTTTAATATCAGTCTCATAAGTTTGAGCTGAGACACTTTTTTTTTTTTTTAACTTTTATGATGGGCAGTACTGTTTTCCACATCCTCCAGTTCAATCCTACTTCTCATTTCTCCTGTCCAGATTCCTTCCAGCCCCCTTTGAACTTTGAACAGGGGGGATGAGTGGGACAATACTGGTAGGCTTTTAGCCCGTTTCAGTAGCGTTGCTCAGAGCTCTCTCCTTTTGGGACGTTTCTATTACTGCGTCCATGCTCGTGTCAAACGTCCTGAAAGGTACAGAGGAATGACGTAACTGCCTGTGAGACACTGTGGAAAATGTTTCTCTGTGCTCAGTTGTGCTGCTAAGCTAGCCATCCTCTGTGCCTGCTGATCAGAGAAGCACTGCTTTGACAAGCCACTTGGGGGGGGGAGGAAAGAGTAACAGGGTTGTGTGGGTTTTCATCTAGAACTGGCTTCAGGTGTTTAAAACATTTCAAAGCAAGTTCTAGGAAATTCTTGTAGAAAGAAATTGCCATGCAACAGTCAGTTCATGCCATTTATGTTGTTAGTAAACTTAAATGTTGCACAAGCAAGCTTTTTGAGTTTGAATTTATTTCGCTCTGTTTGTCTGGAGAACATGGTGTCAAGTGCCCATTTTTTATTTTAAGAATAGCCTTAAAGACTTGATTGCTGTTTGATCCTCATGTTGTGCTGAAGGTAGTTCAAAGTTATGAGGAGTGATGTATGCTGTATCTTAATGAAATGCTTGTCTGAAATGGTACTGATAGCCTGCTGTGAAAAAATCAATTTGCCATCAGCAAACTCAGTACTCAATTTAGTTCACCCAAGTATTTCATGTTCTATCCCTATAGTAAAACAAAAGGGTCCTGAGAATTAATTACAGTGTTAGCATCTGCTCATGGCAGTCTTGCTGATATACTTAGTAGAAGAAGATAGTTAAGGCGTGAGAGAGATGGAGTGCAAAGTTTTTTACCACTGCTATTTCTTATGCAAATGTATTTTAAATAACAACTCTTTTTTCTGATTCCTGTGGATATTGTTTTTTTCTTTTTGCCAGAGTACCTGGTTGAATAGAAAACCAGAAAATACTGATGGCTTACAAATAATTTGTGTTGAACCACTTCTTCATGGTGCATATTTCTGTCACCATTGTTGGCTGCACAGTGGAGCACTGATTATCTGACTGCTGAGTAACACCATTTCTTCCTTTAAAGTAAATTCCAAGCTTTTTATGGGTCAACAGATGAATGAGAAGTTTGTTGAGATTACAGATGCCTGAGATTCTTGATGTTGGATTTTATATTAATGTAATTCCAGTCTACTGTGGTAGTACACTGGAGTACTCCAGTACACTGTGGAGCAACCTTGAATGCTGGACAGACAAACTTTTGAGATGTACACAATCTCCTGTGACAGTTTCATCTTTCTTAGCTTTAGAAGATGTGTGTTAACACGCCAATCTGAAATGAGGGTTTTTTGTATGAAACGTAGACCGAGATGCAGCACAAGTCTACAAGATATTGGTAAATCTAGGACTTTAGTATTCTGTAATTTTGTATTTTGACACACATTTGTTTTAAACCAATACAGGATTTTAGGTAAATGAGTAGCTGCTCACTTGAAATAGAAATAAGATCAGGTCCTGTACTTTCTGACTGTACTTGTTGCCAACAGATCAGAAGGTCTGAAGTATCTTTCCTGGAATGTCTGAGAAAACCTAATTTCCCATATCCGATAGAGATTAATTATTCTTCAATTCTCCATGATTTCTCTTGTTGGTTTTGAAATGCATTCATCCATGCCATTGAATGTTGGAGGGGATCATTTTAGATCTCTGGGAGAGCGAGTCAAATTCAGTTTTATCTTGAATAACTGTAATCCCATTAAAGGAAATGGGGTTATTCCGTTTGCATTGAAGAGCAATTTTAGTTCACATAACTTTAATAAAACCCCTAAGTTTGATGAAATAAGAGCAGGTTCATTTTCTTGAGTAATTTGTTATTTGAAAGGAAAATGATGACCAGAAATAGTAGGAATTCTAAATGCTTTTATTATTTATAGATTCACGTTTTCTGACAAGCTGTAAGAACAAATGGGAAAATGGCAGATTGTGTTTGCATGTCTGAAGGTGGAATATATCCTTTAAGATTTCAGAAAATTTACAGGTGGCCTGTATTAGTTGCTTGTACATTTTGAATGATAGGTTCTTAGCAAAGAAATAAAAGCCAAACTTTCAATTAGATCATGCTTTTTCTTCTTGAAGACATTTTACTATTTTTATGACATAGTTAGTTCATTTCATTCTTTTTTTATATACACACAATAGTCTCTTTAATGT